TATTTTTGATATGGCTTACAGTAATCCATTTTGGTACAGTCTACAGTAAATTGTTTCAGTGAAATCGAAAACAACATGGCCCGACAGGTGGCTTATGGACAAAATTCAGGCCATGACTTACTTTACTTGGCCTGCTCACTCATTAGTTACACTTTAGATTTCAAGTTCATGCATTAAGAAAATATGAATAAAAAATTTCAGGAAACCTAATTCCAACAAGTAGCAAACTATGACTATCCATTATTTCTTATCCTCTACAGTCTGGAACTTTCTTAAGTAAAGGGTTTAAGCCACATTAATCTAGGGTGTACTGTAATATAGTCTCTTCTTATTTTTTTTGTGGATTTTGTAATAATATACATTTAAATGTTTGTATGGCTTTCCTACACAGTGTTTCCCCACATTAGTTCATTTTGTACATTTCTGTATGATCAGTAGATCCTTTTTATGTCAATTTGTGTAACCTAGTATACCATCATTTTTATAGGCTCTGGAGTTACTTATGGGAATATTTTTTTTGCCTGGTTTACTTAAATGTTCTTACTATTTATACATTAGTCTGTCTTGTAGCGCCCCCCAGTGGTGCAGCAGTATGCCGACTTATACCGTCATAAACTGGGTTTCGATACCGGTAGTGGGCAGAACACAAATAGCACATTGTGTAGCTTTGTGCTTAACTATAAACAAAAACAATACTGTCTTGTAGCTTTTTTGTACAGTCTACAATAATTACTTTTAGTCTTGTCATACTTTCACACAGTCTTAATTCACCATCTTCATACATATGTACAGTCATAATTTTTGTTTAGTCTATAGTCGTCCATTTTGTATGGTCTACACTTTTTGCAAACAGAAGTTTCTAATGCCTAGAATAATCTATTGTGCATTTACTGTTATGATAATCAGTAGAAAAACTGTAAAATATCTGGGTTACAAGAACATCAAATGTATACAAAACATTCATAATTAATTTTTTGGATATCAATACAACAATCTAAGTTTAGGGAAAGTACTGTTGTAGTTTCCAATATCTTTGATAATTTTTAGGTGGCAAGTGTAATTTTGCATTTTAAGCTAAATTATATTTGCAATTTATATGTTGCATACTTTGTGGTTCTTTCATAATGTTAAATGTCAGCATCACAACCAACTATTAGATTATGAGGCTTTGTTGAGGTTCAATATCTCTACTTGTGCAAATGGTGTTAAGCCTATCTTCTTTTAACCAAATCTGGCAAAGTAGGATTAGCGTCAACCCGAAACATACGACCAACGATTGGTCTTTAGCCACAGTAAGAGAACTGATGGTTGACTAATGACGGTTACAAATGGCTGATGATAAAGTATCAACTTGCAATATAAAAACTACTTGAAGATTTAGCATATCATCAAAAGTGTGCAATTTACTAAATTAACATACAATTTAACATGTCACTAACTTAAGGGATGCAATTTTCAAAATATTCATGTATATTTACAAAATTTGTGTAAAGTGTGCTATTTACTAATCTTTGGTGTGTATGTATATTGTTGCGTCAGCGAGGTCACGTGACTAGTATCACGCTACTTCTTTCTCGAACCTTCCCAGATTGGGGGGGGGGGTAGGTCTGGTATATATATGATGGTGACAACGTGACGGACAATGCGTAGGTAGTGAGTAACTGATCTGCAGTCAGATAGTATTGTTGAAGTTAACGTTCGTTGTTATAGTGTTTGTTTTTAGCGCGAATGTTGGAATTAAGTGTATCGTAAAGTTATATTCAGAAAGAATAAACCAGATTATTTAAGAAAGGACTGGTGTCGCTAAAGTTTAGTTGGAAAGAATTTACGGAAAAATTAATTAAGAAACGGAGACATAACAATATATATAAGTTGTTACGTCAATTTAACATGCTGGTAACACTAACGTTTAGGTTGTGTTGCATAATAAACCATGTACCCTTGTAAATTGTCATGGGGTTTTATAAATCGATAGGTACATGTACGAAATAAACATGTAGTTTAATAAAATGTGGTATATGTAAATTGTTGTGCACATTTCATAAATTAACATGCACAATTAATATGTAAACAAGGACATTTCACAGTCAACTTGGCGTTTTACAAGTAGTAGTGACAGTTATAAACCAACAAATCAACTTGTTTTTCTAGGTGACAAAAATGAAAGGACCGTGACGTATGCAATATATATATGGACTGCGCATAGAATTTAGGTTAAATTGATGTCTCATGTAGCCAATAATGGTTTTCGTAAAAACAGAAATTTTGGTATTAAGACAATTGACAGTTACGTCGTTAAATGGAACATACAACGTTTGCTTATTACTATTAGTAACATTTTGAGTTTCCTAACCGTTAAAAAAAAGGTCAGTAGGAGTTACGTCACTGTTTACCTGATTAATTAAAAAAGCTTTAGATACAAATTGATCAATAAGGGTTAAAATAAAATTTTAGAATGAATCAGTTTAATATTTGATTCAATACTGTAATATATACAACCACATTTTGACTGTGCTTAAGGGGAAAATAGTGCATTTCGAATTGTATTAATTTGTTTAAAAAGGGTAGTTTCAATGCGAAAATGAAAGAAATTACATGCATTGATTTAACTTTATTATTATTTGGACACGAACTTTGACTTTCTCATTTGATTTTTTTTTTTCCATTTTGAGTACGAATTCATCTACCTACTGTAAATGTATTCTTTCTTATTCTTTGACGTTGACGTGTTGAGAATATAATCACCATTATTTCAATGTAGTTTATCGTGGGCATGTTTGGAAGCATAATTTGGTGTAAAAGCTCCTCCTAGTAAGTAAAACTAAAAAGGGAACGTTTGCTCACTTCGTAAACGCCAGTACTACCAATTTCTGGTCGTGTACTTATACTTCAAGGTCTGATAAATCGGTTGAAATTTGGCATTGAATATTTATTTCATCATTCCTTAACTATACCATGATATTATGTTCGTTTATAAATTAGTTGTTTTTTTTTTGCTGAAATTATTAGAAGTTTCGTAGTGTTTTCCATGCAAACATATTAGATGTATACATATATATATATATATACACACACACAAAATCCTCGTATATCGTAATTTTGGGCAACTTTACGATGTCTAAACATATAATAAATTTAAATATGTTTAATTCAATTATGCAGTCCTGTTTCAAAAAAAATAAAATAAATAAAACCTAAATTTTGATTTCAGGAAAGCGTGACTCGGTGTGTAATGTATAATGCCGTTCTTCTTATTTTCGCTGTGCAAAGCTACATAATGGACTATCTGCACTATGTCAACCGAGTGGAATCTAACCGCAGATTTTAACTTACCACTTATATAGTTAAATACTAATTAACACGTTTGTTTGTTTGAAGTTAATCACAAAGCTACACAATGGGCTATCTGTGCTCTGCCCACCACGGGTATCGAAACCCGGTTTCTAGCGTTGTAAGTCCGCAGACATATAGCTGTGCCACTGGGGGGCAATTAACACGTATTTTGCACTCTAGTTGATGGAGGAAGTTTGTGGGTAATATCATGTGAGGGGGGGGGGTGCTTGATACCAGATTTTAAATGGTAAAGAGACAACAATCAAAGAGGAAACAAATGAATCTAACTTGGGAAAATAAATATTTACATTGGTTTTGAAAATCAGGAACACTAACGATACACTGGAGATTTGTAAGATGGTTTTGTGATGAAAGTCTATCAAATCATAGCAACGAAGTGGCATATTGATCAAAGCATAAAATAAATATCCCGAACTTTAAATTTAATGGCGTTAATTTATGTTAATAATACAAATCTTATTCACAACACCAAGATATGGCTCAAAACGATCATACAAATAAAGCATCGTAACTATACTGTGTACCGTGATGGCATTAGAAACACGCGCATTTTCTCTCTCTTACGTTTTAAATTTTTAAAAATAG